ATTCCTGGCCTATGTCACTTAGCATTGTGTACTTGATCTTACTTACGCATCCTTCTGTCTCTCCTAGCCTGCAAGCTGGCTAGCTGGCAGGCAGACAACATACTGTTGGCCCGGGTTGGTCAGGCCTGCAAGCTGCGGATGCTCCAGGTACACTTGCTGAGTCATTGACCTGAGGCGGGTGAGTATGTGACATTTTCAGGGGCTGGCTCCATGGCCTGGTGTTTTGGACCGAATGGTTTAAGTCCTGGCCTGTGGCTTCAGAAATACACTGGGTGTACGTAGATGCATGCCCAAGATCCCTAAAGGAGGGAGAGAGAAGGGATTCTAGCCTGATAGTTTCTTATGGGAGGGTGCTTTCTCCTCTCCCTCTTGTCTCTCTGCCTTTCTCTGGCAAGTGCATGAGTCTTCCAGCAACAAACAAAACCAGCTGGTGGTTTTGTGACTATAAAACAGCAGAAATAGTTTGTCGTGATACTAAATGACCTCGTTTCATTAGCCATTAGCAAACTGTGAAACAGTAAAAAGCCCATGACAAAAACAAGATTTGCTAGTTGATACCAAAGCACTGGGAAATAGTATTCAATGTTTGAAAACACTTCACTGCTAGAGGGTGCATACACTTGCCAGACACACAGAGCCTCCGACGGGGGCGTGGTCACACTGCAGTAACTTTTCCTTTATTGTCAGGATTTTTGGCACTTATGTGGATGTGCCCAGGCTTATTTTTCAAGCCACTAAGGCCAAGATTCAAACTTCATTTGGCATGTGGGAATCCCATCCCCTTAACTACTGAGTTATCAGGCCAATCCAATGGTATTCTAATTTTTAAAAATAATTGTTTATTATTATTTTACAGTTTGGTCAAAGAAGAGAGAAATAGAGGGAGAAAGTGAGAAAGGAAGCCACCATGTCTGGGACTTGAACCACAGTTGGCCATGTGGGAGGGAGTCCAGTGCCTTTAATCATCAAACCGCCTGCTAGCCCCCCAGTTTTTAAAACTAACTATTTTCATTTAACTTTTATTTATTTAAATTTGACGAGAGAAGTGCAGAGTCAGAGAGACAGAGAGACAGAGAGAGAGGAAAAGTGAGAAAGCAAGTCACCAGGTCTGGGACTTGAGCTGTGGTCAACCATGTGGGAGGTCCAGCACCCTTAACCACGCCACCTGCTGCCCCCCCCCTTTGAGAGATGTTTTTATTATAGGGTGCATGCTAGTGAAACAGCGAGACAGTAATCACCCCCCAGGGTGGATGCCCATGCTGCAATCCCTTCTCCATTTTTCTTTCAGGATTTTGGGCACACACGTGTGCAAAGTGTGTATTAGTCTGCTGGGCCAGAGACTTGAACCACAGCGTCTGTATGGAAGTCTAAGTCCAGCGAAGTAACCATTACACCATCTACTGGTCCCTCATTTTTTTTCTTGAGATTTTTGCTATATATATTTTTGCTAAAACTCAACCTCTCTGTTTTCAAGGAGTTAACGTCTTCATACTCATCCCTGTGAGGTCAGGGTATAAAGAACTTAAGGTCGCCCTGCGGGATGGAAGGAGGACCTACTTTCAGCCTTGCTTGGCATTCAGTTGGTACGTGTACTAACTCTGCTCCTCCCAGAACTTTGGACAAATTCACCAGAATTTGTGAATTCATTATATCTAGTAGTTAAGGAAGCTGTTAAGCTAATGCTTCCAACCTTCTCCTCTGAATCCTAATCATCAGGCATTTAAACCAGTGTATTCTATGAAAAAGATCTGTCAAGAAGCAAAACAAAGTCAGGGTGTCTGTCTCACACAGTTTATTTAACAATAGGTAATAAGAAATCAAATTTAACAGTCTATACAGTGATCCAAAGTTCATATTTATAAGTAATCAACTTTAATTGCATGATTTACAACATTTGAGGGTTTTTGCTTTGTAGTTTCAAGTTTTACAGAAAGTGTGTGTGTGTGTGTGTGTGTGTGTGTGTGTGTGTATGTGTGGGGCAGGGTAAGGAGGAAGAAAGCAAGCAAAGAAGAAACCCCCGGGACATTTGCAGGTTCAAATCATCCCACCGGAATCGTTTCTTACCCTCTTTTTAATTTTTTCCTTTGTTAGATGTAAAAATAACAAACAAAAAAAATCTTTCAAGAAACAGAAACCACAATATATAATACATCAATTTGGCAGCTGCCCCTGTATATTTTGAAAAAGTCATTTTTCTCTCTACATGTACAAATTATTTTTAATACTTGGAAGTTTTACGCTTAGACTTACAGAATAGAAAATTTTCTGGAGCACAATATATATTTATATATATATATATAGAATGTAATTTTAAAGTAACATTAACCCCTTTTGTCCTCTGGTTTAGAAATGTTCTTTTAACTCTTCCATAAAGTGAGGAAAATAGGGAAAAATGTCAACCATCTGCACCAGTAAATAATAACTATTAATATTACATTTTCATTAATTTAAAAAAAATAATAAAACCTATCGGAGGTGCAAGGCAGGAGCATACGGTCGGCTTCACAGCCTCAGTCTCCCCCAGTGCACACCTGAACCACACACACAAGGGAAGAAAGGCTGGTGGTCCCAGCCGTAACAAAAATATATTCTTTGTATTCTATCATCCCTCAGGTTCATCTTGCAGGTTTGCTTTAAACCACAAACGGCTACTGCACAGTTCTGATGTGTTCCAAGGAAAATTGTCTTTTAGGCTAAGAAAGATTCAAAAAAATTGTTTTCAGTACAAAAAGTCTTGTTAAGAGAAAATAATTTTTTTGCTCCCAAAATACTACAAGGTGTCTCTAGTGTATGTCTAGTGTACTCTGTGAGAGGTTTGAATTCAAGTCTGAGTTATCGGTGCTGAGTCCCAGGTCCGTGGCGCTTGCACCATGGAGGTTTGCCATGCCTGGATTGCTAGCAAGCTGAGAGAGCATCGAATTCTGGTCCGGGCTGGCAAAATGCCCTTGTTCCATGGGGTTGGCCTGGGCAGCTACCAGTCCGGGATGTGGGGAACTGGTCTGTGGGGAAACGTGGTGTGGAGAAGGTTGAGGTTGCATCCTCGGGGAAGGGCTGGAGTGGGGGGGCTGGGATTGTGGCCGTGGAGAGGGGACAGGCTGGGGGGAGCGCACTTGATTGGAGAGAGAATTAGGGATCTGCTGGCCTTGTAGGTGTGGGGACTGGGCTTGATTTGGGAGCATATGCTGTTGGGGGCTCATGGGGTTGGGCTGAGCAGGAGACCCCATCTGCTGCTGAAGAAGTCGTTGCTGATAGGCCTGCAGACTGGCCCCTGCCTCTGCTCCCAATGCCTGGGGGAGCTGGCCCATCTGTCCCATATTCCCTTGCTGCATTTGTTGCATGTGATGCTGCATTCGCTGCTGCTGTTGCTGCTGCTGCTGCTGTGGGGGATAGCCAACTCCTTGGGGCTGCTGGAACTGGTTATGGTTGGCCATTCCAGGGCCTATTCCGGGCCCTGCTCCCTGTTGCTGCTGCTGCATCATCTGCTGTCGTCTTAAGATGTCTCGGAACTGTGAAGGCATGGCGTTGTGGTTCATGTTCATTTGCTGAGCTTGAGGGCTCATCCCTCCCATGGGTGGCTGGAGCTGCTGCTGTGGTTGTTGCTGGGGCAGGCCAGCCCTTTGGACGCCTGCCTGCATGGGGTTCATGTTCTGCATGGCTGGACTGGAGTGGACCCCCTGCTGACCTGGCATGGTAGGTGGCTGCAGCCCTGGCTGCCCCTGGGACATGCCCGGCTGCCCAGGGAGGGGCTGTGGATTAGAGTTGGCGTACTTGGCAGCCCGCTGCTTGATGAACGCAGCCAACAGTTGGGGGTTGGCGTGAAGAATACTAAGCACCTGTTGCTGCTGTAGGGGAGAGCTGGGAGACCTGAGAGTCCGCAAAAGGTTCTGTAAGGCTTGCTGAGACACAGTGCCTGGTTTGAGTGGGCTCACACCTACCTGGCCCAATCCTGGCTGGGGAGGCATGTTCAAGGGCTGACCATGCTGTGCCACTGACATCATGGCTGGCCTTGGCATTCCAGACTGCAGTTGCTGGGGCTGAGGCAATCCTCCTTGGGCCCAAGGTGGCTGTTGTTGCATCCCTGTAGGCCCCATCCCTGGCTCCAAATGCCCACTGGGCCCTCTGCCCATGGGAGGCGGGTTCATACCCATAGGGGCCATGGGAGCCATCTGGGGCATCTGGTGCTGGATTGGCCTTTGAAAAATTTGCACATGGGCCATCTGGCGCTGTGTCTCAGCTGCCCTCTGAATCTGCATTGCCATTTCCACTGCTGCAGGTGGGGGTCCTGGAAGGGGTGGCTGAGCAGTCTGAGGTGGGGTTGGAGGGGTCACCTGGCCTGCTGCCTTACCCTGGGACACAGGGCCGGCAGCCTGAGTCCTGGACAAGTAGGGTGGCATGCTGTTGGGGGGTGTAGGCTGAGGCTGAGAGGCTGGCTGGGGTTGGGGCGTCTGTGGGGTGGCTGGCTGCTGGCCAGTTGGTGTAGTTGGAGTGGCCGGAGTTGGAGAAGGCAGGCCCTGCTGCTGGCCCACGACCCCAGTCCGCTGCATGCTGGCCATCCTCCTGCGCAGCATCTGGGCCTGCTGCAACCGGTGCTGCAGCTGCTGTTGCCGGAGCTTTTGCTTGATGTTTAGGCAGAACGGCACAGGGCACTTGTTCTCCTGGCAGTGCTTGGCATGGTAGCAGCAGAGAGCAATGAGTTGCTTGCAGATGGGGCACCCACCATTGGTTTTCCGTTTGCAGCCCTTGGTGTGCTGCACGACCCGCTTCATCTTCTGGCAGGAAGGCAAGGAGCAGTTGGCATTCCGGCACTGGCAAGCATGGACCAGAGATTGGATGCAGCGCTGGATGCTCAGGCGACGAGAGTCTCCTGGGCTCTGGGTGGCTGCGGCCTGCTGGTTGTTGCTCTCATCATCTAAGCCAAGGCCTAGTTTCTCCATTTTATGGTCATGGTTTTTAGTGTTATAGCAGGTGATGCACAAGTCGTAATCCTGGGGAAAAAACAGAGGAGGTACAGGTAAACTCCCGAGACTCATTTAGTCAAAAAGCATTTTACATATTCTGCCTGGGCTAAAGTCTCGTTCTATAGAACAAACATGAGCTTGTTCAGCTCTGCCACTCCAAAAGGAGGCCAGGCTTCTTCCCCATAAGTCTCTGTGGCCTGTATTTGCATCACCCCCACCTACCTCACAGACAGTGCAGTGCCAGCGTGTCTCCACATGGTGCTTGCACTCATTGCACGTGTACACAAAGCGGTCTTGGCTCTGTGTGTGTAGTTCTACCAGCATGCACATGGTGGACCACTGGGCTCGGCGGAGAGAAGAGAACTCCAGATGCTTATCCCTTGCAAGGGTGAGAAATGCATCCCGACCATCCATGAGATCGCAGGGGATGAGAGGATCAGGATCGATGATGGGAGGCAGGGAGTTGGCTGCAGGGCCAGCGATGAGGCGGATCACAAAGAAGACCTAAAGAACAAGAGCACCACAAAAGCAGGGAGGTAAGCCAGGTGAGGCACCAATGAGACTGGTAAACACCCAGAGAAGTTTTACAACCACGCCCCTTACCTCCTGCTTCACATATCTCTGGTCTCTTCTTTGAGGCCAACTATTATGTACCTATAATTCACATCCTGTTACCTTTTCTATCTTATTAAATAAAACCAGTCTAGTTCAGGAATGGCACATATACAATGGCTATTTTGCCTCAAGGTAGTCTACTTTAAGATGCAATCCATCTAATTACAAAAAAACCTATCAGGTCTTGGGACTAGCAGGTGGTATGGTGGTTAAGGTGCTGGACACTTCTGCATGGCCGACCACAGTTCGAGTCCTGGATCTGGTGTCTGGCTTTCTCACTTTCCCTCTCTGTCTCTGGTCAAATTAAAATAAATGAATAATAATAATAAAAAAAGTCAGTGTGAACTCTCAGGTCCCCCCACCTCCCTTTTCATTCTCAATAAATGACTTTCTGGAAACTGCCTCCTAGGCCCCATCCAGTTGCCTCTCTGGGAGCTGGGCCTATACAATGGGTATTTCCAACAAACCTAAGAGACCCTTCTTGTCTGCTACCCCTCTCTCTTTTTTAATATTAAAAAAAATTATTTAATTCCATTTGTTGTCATCATTATTTTTAATTTGACCAGAGACAGAGGGGGGGGGAAGGGAGACAATAAGCCGCCAGGTCCAGGACTTGAACTGCAGTCAGCCATGTGGGAATCCAGAGCCTTTAATGACCATGCCACCTGCTGGCCAGCTCTGCTACCTTTAAAAAAAAAATAATTTAATTAATTTATTTTAATTTGACGAGAGAGAGAGAGAAAAAGAAAGAGAGAGAGAGAGAGAGAGAGAGAGAGAGAGCACGCGTGAGCGAGTGAGCTGCTAGGTCTAGGACTCGAACTGTA